GGGCAACCATAGGCCAGATCATGAATGGTCTCGTGTGTCATTTACTCATTCATTCAGCAAATACTTATTGAACAACTACTGTGTACAAGGGAATCCCTGAGTGGTGTAAGCAGTTAACATGCTCGACTGCAAAACTGAAAGGCTGGAAATTGGAGTCCATCCAAAGCTGCCTCAGAAGAAAGACTTGCTGATCTACTTCTGAAAAATTAGCCATTGAACCCTATGGAGCACAGTTGTACTCTGACACACATGGGATTGCCGTGAGTCAGAACTGACTCTACAGCAACTGGTTTCACTGGTACTATGTTCCAGACCCTGTTCTAGGCACTGGCATCCAGCAGCGAACAAATCAGACAAAAATCACTTTTCAAATGGAACTTACATTCTAGTGAGAAGAGACAGACAAATAATATTCAAAATCTATAAATACATACACATGAGCATATTAATGATAAATGAGAAGAAAATTTGGCAGGGGTGAGGATGTGGGGTTTGTAGTTTTAGGGTGGGGAGAGAGGCCTCACAAAGAAAGCAACATTGGAATAAAGATCTGAGGCTGGTGAAGGAGCCAGAGTATTCTGGACTGAGGACATGTGCAAAGGCCCTGAGGTTGGAGTGGGTCTGGCTTTTTCAAGGAAATATCTAGGCAGAGAGCATGGCCAGAGTAAAGCGGAGGAACCCAGTGAAAGAGGAGCAGGAGATGAGGTCTGAGAAGTTAAGGGGACCTCTGATCCTGTGAGGCCTGGGAGGCTACTGTAAGTATTTTGGCTTTTAATCTCAGTGAGATAGGACTGATAGGAGGGTTTTGAACAGAGTAATGATATAACCTAACCTAAGGTTTGAAAAGATTACTGCTGTGTTGAGAATAGGGGACAAGAGTGGAAGCCAAGAGAACAGTTAGGAAGCTTTGGAATAATCCAGGTGAGGGGATGGAGGCTTGGACCAGGGTGATAGCAGTGGGGGTGGTAAGAAATGTTCTGGAGGATAGATTTTATCCTGTACGTGGTAAGGAGCCATTAAAGACTTTCAATCAATGCAGTGACATGATTTGTGTGTTAAAAACATCCTTTTGGCAGCCATGTATAAGAAGGATTGGAGAAACAGGACAAGGAGCTGCACTGCTCCAATTACTAAGAACAAACGAAGGAGACCTTACAGCAGAGGAAGTCTAATGCCCAGAGACCTTGTCGGGCAGGTTGTCAAACCTGGCCAACTTCTTGACAAGGGACAGGAATTCAAAAGATTTACACATGAGGAAAGTTCTTTGAAAACCTTGCCAAGGAAGCAAGATGAGTGAGTACGGATCAGATTTATTCTAGAGGCAGCTTGCGTAATAGATAACAGCAGACCCTTAACATGTGCCGGGCACTGCCGTGAGCACTACAGCTGCATTAGCTCATTTAATCCTTACCACAGCCCTAAGGGGAGGACGCAACTATTGTCTCCATTTCATAGGTGAGGAGACAAAGGAACAAAGAGGTTAAGCACTAGGTTTTGTTGCCTCCTAAGGGTCTCCACCGGGGTGAAAAACTCTACTGGGAGATTCAGAATTATCTGGTTGTCTCTAAAATTAAATGTAAAAAAGATTACCTATATTTCCTTTTCAAACTGTGGTGATAATGGCTTCAGAAAGTTGATCACTGCTTGGTGGTTAGGTCTTATGTTGATGCCCTTTGAGTTGCTAGTGACAGAAATTAGCTTAATAAAAAACATAGGTGGGGGTGAGTGGAATTGCAAGACACTTAAATGTCCAGAGGAAGAGGCATGCGTCGTGTGCGCGCATGCGCGGAACGATTTAGAAGGTGTGGCTGGATCCAGGGGCTCAGATGATGCCATAAGCGCATATTCTCTCCAAGTCTCTGGTCCACGTGTTGGCCTCCGTCTCTTCTACTGCTGATGGCTTCCGTACATGGTGCGGAGGGCTGTCCACGTGCAGCTTCAGAGTAAATCGTCTTCAGAGCACCCTGATTCCAAATGGAGAGAAAGTGTCCTTCCTAGAAGCTTCAAAAAAAAAAGGGCTGGGAGGATTCTGATTGCCTCGTTTGGGTCCTGCTGCCCATCCTAGGACTGAGGGGGCGGGGGGGGGGGCGTGGTGAAGGGTAAACTCCATGTGAGGGCAGTTACCGGGAAGGAAAGGAAGCTGGGTAGCAGCTGTGGGTCTGCTGTGTGTTTGCCGGAAGTGGTGGGTTTGAGGTCATGAACATCATCCTGTAGGCACTGAGCTGCCTTAGAAACAAGGTAGCAACAGGGTCCATCCCTACTCGACAGTATTTGGGGTTGGCTCTAAGGAGAAATGTAACCTATAATTCTGAGTGACCAGCACCAGTCATTTTATTTTATTTTTAAGGAGAGTGATTTAGGATTTAGAAGCTTTTCCTGGAACTGGAGATCAGTTCTGGAGCTGCCCCCAGCTGGGCTAGGAGTGAAGGCAGGTAGCCCTCGCTCAGAACCCACACTGTCCCCATCACTATTTCTCTAATATGGCTGCCTCCTTTTTTCCTTTTCAAAGTAAATGATAATGGGTGAGGAAAAAGTGTTTCTCAACTTTTTTTTGGACCCTGACCCAAATTAAGATAATAATTTTTTCATCATAATCTGGTATACACGTACTTTTGTATACCTAACAGTATTGACTCTAAATAGTGAAACACTATTTACTCCTTATTAAGTCCAAAGTACTGGGATATTTTCTATTCTGTTTAATTTCATTTTATAAAAGACCAGTAAAAACCTATAAATTTATTTCACAACCCACTAATGGGTGGCAACCCAGAGTTTGAAAAACATGAATTAAACCAGTGAAAAACAACCACGGTAAAAAAAAAAATTAAAAATAAATAATGGAAGTTCCCATTTTATTGAGCCCTTACTACATGGCAGACGCTCAGCTAGGCATTTTATTTAACTCATTGAGTCCTTCCTCCGCCATTCTAGAGATAAAGAAACCAAAACTAAGAGATTTCTCCTTGGTTTCAGAGCCCAGGCATTTTCCTGGATTGCTTCTGTTCGTTGAACATCATGAAAGAGCCATACACGCTCATTTGATCTGAATTAAAATGCTAAACACAGGTAGTAAATGCACAACAAAATTGCGCTGAAGTTCATGGCAATGAAGACTTCTTTTTTTTTTTTAATTGTGCTTAAGGTGAAAGTTTACAGAGCAAATTAGTTTCTCATTAAACAATTAATACACAAATTGTTTTGTGACATTGGTTGCCATCCCCATGATGTGTCAACAATCTCCCCTTCTTGACCTCAGGTTCCTCATTTCCATTCATCCAATTTTCCTGCCCCAAGACTTCTTATAGGGCTAAATTCACAGGTGACAGTCCCTAAGGGCCCTGTGACTTGTGTGCTCCTGGGGAAGGGAATGCCAGGGAACGCTTGGCTCTGTCCACTGGGCTGTTCCCCAGCAGCAAGCCACTGCATTCCTAACAATGCCTAGCAACCTGCCAGACACAGCACTTGCTCTCTTTGTGCTTCTTCATCCTCATTCTGAATTTAGATCAGGGTGAAGAGTAGAGAGAAGGAGATGAGCCAGAAAATAGAAGATTAATACTTGGTAGAGTCTTCATATTTTAAAATTAATTTATAGGCAATGTCAGGCAACTGGAGTTATATCATTTTATCAGCAGGCTGCTCTAGAATTTAAAAATTGGCATCCATCATTGTAAATCAGGTCTCAGGAGCCCCGGGGAATGGTTTCTACGGATGAGGGGTGATATAGGGTGGGCAGAAATGTAAATACTTGATTAGCTGTGTCCTCGTCTTTCAGTCAAAACCTAAAATATTTCTACATCACACTGAGTGAGAATGGCATGTTAAATAGTAACAGAAAGGAAGAAGGTATGTAGGTTTTATGGTCACCTTACTTTTAATACTTTTCTTCCTCTCGGTCAATTCTGGGAAACTAGTTGTGTGAGAGACATTCATTTCAGTGGAATAGTCCCAGCTCATAGTCTAGAGGTGGTCTCCACCTCCTTCTTCATAGACTCAGGTGTCATTGTTAGTTGCCATCTAATTGGCTCTGATTCATGGTGATCCCATTAGAACAGATCAAAACATTGCCCAGTCCTGTGCCATCTTCGTGATCATTGATATTCTTGAGTCCACTGTTGTGGCCACTGTGTATTTTGAATATTTTCCAATCTGGAAGGTTCATCTTTCAGCCCTATATCATACAATATCCTGTTGTGAACCTTAGGGTTTTCACTGGCTAATTTTCAGAAGTAGATGGCTGCTTTAGTCATCTAGTGCTGCTGTAACAGAAATACCACAAATGGATGGCTTTAACAAAGAGAAGTTTATTCTCTCGCAGTCTAGTAGACTACAAGTCCAAATTCAGGGCGTCAGCTCCAAGGGAATGCTTTCTCTGTTGGCTCTGGAGGAAGGTCTGTGTCATCAATCTTTCCCTTGGTCTGGGAGCTTCTCTGCACAGGAACCTCAGGTCCAAAGGACACGCTCTGCTCCTGGCACTGCTTTCTTAGTGGTATGAGGTTCCCATGTGTCTCTGCTCGCTTCTCTCTTTTATATCTCAGAAGAGATTGGTTTAAGACACTATCCAATCTTGTATACCTCGTCAGTAAAACTGCTGCTAATCTACCTTATTAGATCACAGTGATTAAATTTACAGCACATAAGGAAATCACATCAGATTACAAAATGGTACACAATTATACAGTACTAGGAATCATGACCCTGCCAAGTTGACAGGTATTTTTAGGGGACACAATTCAGTCCATGGCAATGGCCAAGCCTTTCTTCCTAGTCTGTCTTAGTCTGGAAGCTCCACTGAAACCTGTCCACCATGGTTGGTATTTGAAACACCGAGGGTATAGCTTCCAGCTTCCTACTCAGGTAGGATGCCATTTCCCCCAGCAGTTCAGATGTCATCATTTCTGCCATGTGCCTGTGAGCATGAGTATCCACAGGCTTGCCACATTGATACTGGGAAGTCCTTCTGTAACTAAGTAAAAGCCTTTCATCTCTTGTCGTTGCAGCTCTTTGTCGAGGGCGTGTGGTGAGAGTCCCTACAGGGAGCCTTGTCCGGGTGGTGGGAACTGAACTAGTCATCCCCTGCAATGTCAGCGACTATGATGGCCCCAGCGAGCAGAACTTTGACTGGAGCTTCTCGTCCTTGGGGAGCAGCTTCGTGGAGCTCGCGAGCACCTGGGAGGCGGGCTTCCCAGCCCAGCTGTACCGGGAGCGGCTGCAGAGGGGTGAGATCCTGTTGAGGCGGACAGCCAATGATGCCGTGGAGCTCCACATAAGGAATGTCCAGCCCTCAGATGAAGGCCGCTACAAGTGTTCAACTCCCAGCACAGATGCCACCGTCCAGGGCAACTATGAGGACACAGTCCAGGTTAAAGGTACAGTCCTCACATGGGGTCATTATTCCAGGAGGTCAGACCTTCCTCTGCCACTTGGCTATAGGTGACTTTATCAAGGACTCTGAGGCTCTGTTCCCTCATCTGTCCAATGGAGTAATAGTATCTTACCGACTAAAGGTGGAGGATGGGCCCAGTGGCCTCAGAGAGTCATTTATTTACTCCATGGTCGGTATGGTCTGAGCTATCCTGTGGGTGGTTAGTTGGAGCCAGCAGGTGTGGTGGTGCAGAGCCCAGCTCTGGAGCCAGGTTGCCTGCTCTCAATTAGTCCAATTCCTGGACTGTCCACTTGTCAGCCAAGTGGTTGTGGACATGTTACATAACCCCTCTATGCCTCAATTTCCTTGTTTGTAAAATAGTACCTACCTCAAAGGCAGTGAGGACTAAGTGAGTTAATATGTGTAAAGCCTTACAACAGTGCCATAGTGAGGACTCAAAGAAGGTTGGTGACAAGAAGTTGATGATCATGATGATGATGTTCAGGTTTATGGGAATAACAGATACTTCATAGCTCATGTTTTTCTTTCTGCTCTTCCTGACTTAAGTACCCATTTGTACCAGAAGTTGTTATGGGTTATATATAGAGAAAGAATGATGTGGTCACTGCTAGCTTATGATGGAACACAAAATTGACTTGGCTGTGTAAATAATCACACCTTATGTGGCACAAAAGGTTAAGTACTGGGCTACTAGCCAAAAGGTTGGCGGTTCGAATCCACCCAGAGGCACCTTGGAAGAAAGTCCTGGTGATCTACTTTTGAAAGATCATGGCCATTGAAAACACTGTGGAGCACAGTTCTACTTTGACACACTTGGGGTCACCATGAGTCGGAATCAACTTGACAACTGGTTTGGTTTTTCGTTTCTTATATATCTGGAATGATTTTTCTTTTTTTCATTTTCCAAGTCCCTTTAGATTTACTCACACATTCAATTATCTGAACCCAATGAAGAAGATAGGTCAGGATATTTCCTTAATTTACACGTGAGGAAGTGGAAGAGCGTAGGTTAATTACTTGCCTAAAATCGCACGACTAATTAGGAAGAGAGCTGGAACAAATGATTTTAGTTTGGGGTTAACAAAATAGAAACATTATTATTGTTATTATTATTACTTAATTATGCATTTATTTGTAATCTGTCTTGCTCCAAAGAGGATTTAAGTCAGAGTAAGAATGTATTTTAAGATCAGAAAAGTAGAAGCTATGTATGATGATGTAAAAAGAGGAGTTGACCCAGTCATTCATTCCTTTTGTAGTGATTTATAGACGTAGATACCATATGTCAGATACTGGTCCTTCATTAGGCTCATGAGGAGAGATAACAGCTATATATCCATTATGTAGGTATTAAAACATGAATTTTCTACGTCTTCCATTACTTATTCCTATAGAAAATCTCAAGTATATGTACATATATATATGTATGTGTATATATGTTGAAGTCCCATGAGACATCCTTGCGTTTGTATTCATAAAAGAGATGTTGTGTCTTCATTGGAGTCCCTGGGTGGTGCAAACAGTTGACATGCCTGTCTACTCATCAAAATACTGGAGGTTCAAGTCTACCCGGAGGCACCTCAGAAGAAAGGCCTAGTGATCTGCTTCAGAAAAATCAGCCATTGAAAACCCTATGGAGTACCGTTCTACTCTGACACACATGAGGTCGCCATAAGTTGGAATCAGCTCGATGGCAACTGGTTGGTTTATAGATCTGTTAGGTCATACTCACCCTTGTCTCCCCTTATAATTCTCATCTTGAAGAGTCAGAGGGCAGCAGGAAAATTTCCCCCAGTATCTTTTTGTTTCTTCTCCAGCCTTTGGAAGGCAGGAGTAAGAGGTTGCTCTCCTTGGGTCAAGAAAGCAAATGGATGACCAAATGAAACTGGCTGGCTGCTCAGGCAGTCTCCAGCGGGGGCCGTGTCGTCCAGGTTCTTCCTGGTGTGCAGCTTCACCGGTCTTGTAGCTGTTTATCCATGCACTGAGGGATGAGCTGGCCTTGGGAACTGAGTCATGTTAGCCAAACTCACAACTGATTTGTGTACTAGGATGTCATCATATTCCTTTTGTAAAAGAGATGAGTCTTTGTTCCTTCTAAAGATGTAGACTTTTATGTTATCCAGAGTCATCCCTAACTAACTCAAGAACACTAAGTTAGTTTCTGAGAGTGGGATTGGAGGGAAGTCCAAAGAGATGATGAATAGTGATGTCCCGTAGAATACCAAAAAGCAAATCCGTTGCTGTCGAGTTGATTCTGACTTATAGCGACCCTATAGGACAGAGTAGAACTGCCCCATAGGGTTTCCAAGGAGCGGCTGGTGGATTTGAACTGCCGACCTTTTGGTTAGCAGCCGAACTCTTAACTACTGTGCCACGAGGGCTCCGGGCCATACAATAGCCTGATAGATTTTCCCTGCCCCTTGGCAGAGGCCTCTCTCTTGTTGCCAGAGTTCCAGTGCCCATTGTATATAGCTTCTTTTCCTAAATAGCACTCACCATTACTCCTTGGTCTCTGGCCTTCTTTTTGTAGACTCTGCAGAAGCCCTGAGCCCTCTTCCAGTAGGTCCTAAGAGACGGACAAGCTCAGGTTTCAGCTTTCTCTGGCACATTCCTATCCCACGGATACTCTCTGGTCATCTTCCGTCATTCTTGGGCATTTCCCAGACCTCAAGCCACAGGCAGCTCATCCCAGCCTTTCCCCACTGTGGATCTTGCTGGCTGAACTGAACATTTCCAGATTCTGCAGCCTCCCTACTCTAGCCCTGTGTCCTAACCAAAGGGGTGTTTGATAATATTGCCAATTATTTTACAGTGATTTCTAAGTGCCAGGCACTGTTCTAGTCACTTTCTGTTGTTATTAACTCGTTTAACCCTCACATCAACCCCATGAAGTAGGTTCAGTTGTCATCCTATTTTTAGAAATGAGGAAACTGAGGCAGAGTAACTTGCCTAAGGATGACAGGAACATATCCCCAAGCCATAGATAACAGGGCATTTTCACTACCCAGTTCTAACCAATAGTAAACCAGTTGCCATGGAGTCAACTCCCACTCGTGGCGACCCCATCCATGTGTGTTAGAGTAGAACTGTGCTCCATAGGATTTTCAATGGCTGATTTTTCGGAAGTAGATTGCCAGGCCCTTCTTTGGAGGGGACCCTGGGTGGACTCCAACCTCCAACATTTTGGTTAGCAGCCAGCATGTTAACTGTTTGCACCACAGGGGGTTTTATTAGAGCCTCCTTTTTTTATTACATTTTATTTTTCTTTGTTAAGTCAGAAAGTCATTTGCGATGATCTGTGAATCAAAATGGGAAAATATACCCATCTGGGCATTAGAACAGGGAAGGAGAGGAGAAAATTCTCTGGTCACAGCAACAGTCATGATTCAGGCCAGAAAGTCCCAGAAAGTGGCCAGTACTTGCTGCCTCGGGTCCGACCGTGGACCGTGTAGCTAAAGCAGCTCTGTTTTCTCCCCACAGTGTTGGCTGACGCTCTGCACGTGAGCGCCAGCCCGCAGCCCTCCCCAGCCCTGAGCCTGCGGGAGGGCGAGCCCTTTGAGCTACGCTGTGCAGCCTCCACCGCCTCGCAGCTGCACACGCACCTCTCGGTGCTGTGGGAGGTGCACCGCGCCTCCGCCCGGCGGAGTATCCTTGCCCTGACCCATGAGAGGAGGTTCCGGCCTGGCCTGGGGTTCGAGCAGCGCTACAATAGCGGAGACGTGCGCCTGGACACGGTGGGGAGTGATGTTTACCGCCTCTCTGTATCCCGGGCTGTGTCTGCAGACCAGGGTTTGTACAAGTGTGTTGTCAGTGAGTGGATCGGAGAGCAGAGTACCTGGCAAGAAATTCAAGAAAAAACAGTAGATGTCGCCACTGTGGTGATCCAGCCAACAGGTAAGTTTCTGGAAAGTACGTATTTTAGACTCTTATTTTTTGAACTAGGCCATAGGATCCCATCCTTTTCTGACAAGAATTATTTCTGCTCCTCATGTGAAGCCTTCCTGTTGGAAGGAGAGGGTAGTATTGGTAGTATAGCAAGGGGTGCATTTGTTTTGGACTGTATACACTTACAGTTTTGCTTTGTAGCTGCTTTTTATCTGAATTGGTTTCCATGGGAGCTACAGCATAACACATAATACTAAGACAGTTCCTTCACTAAAAGATTAAGTACCATAGTCCCGCAGCCAGAATATGGTCAGGCCTGGTGGTCAGAGGGACTTTGGGTGGAGGTGCCCACACCCTGTTCTGGAGTGTTCTCTTAGCTTTATCTGTTTGGAGTTTCCTGAATCTCTTTTTTTTTTTAAATTTTTTTTATTGTAGTTTAGATGAATGTTTACAGAACAAATAGTTTCTCATTAAACAGTCAGTACACATATTGTTTTATGACATTGGTTAACAACCCCACGACATGTCAACACTCTCC